TCTCAATAATAGTCCTATCTATAGCTTGGAATAGATAGTTCTTGACCTTCAAATCTTTCAGTTTCTGATCTTCGTTGCTCTTTTGTTGCGCCTCTGTTAGCTCTATCCCTTCAGCTGCTGCAGGAATCTCATTCTCTATCAAGCCCCAGTACTCCTTTGATCTGAGGAAATTCTCCTTGAGTATGGCCCAATGGTCATAATGACCATCAAACCGTGGAATTGCTGGCTGAACAAAGCTGTTCTCTGTCGTCACGATTCTCTGACTTTTCTCTCTTTTGCTAATCTCTTATTCTTGCTACTTCCTTAAGAAACTGCAGTTTCTTAGAATACTCAGTCAGGCCTCTGTGATGAAGCTCTGATACCAGATGTTGGATCTCAGAGCAAATTTGCAAGTTTTATAGGCTGAAAAAGCACTACTTATTGAATTGCAGAAGCTATGGCTTTATACAAGCCTGTTACAAGGAAATCAACTAAAAATAAGCTCCATGTTCACAACTCCTAAGAATGTGTAAGTGGGTCTAAGACCAATTCAAAACAAAACAGATTACCCTACAAACCAGGGCATTATTAACAAAGTGAGTAACCAACTAAGCAACAAACACGGATAAATCCTAACAATTCTAATGCTTCAACAAACCATTCATCTAATCGATCAACAAACTCAACCATTAAACAAATCTTTACTTATCGCCCTTGTCTTCACCACCTTACCTGTTGTCGCCCCGACCACCATTCACCACTAACTTGACCACATTTTCGGAGTTTTTGGAGTTCTTGTGAAGTGTCATGACCTTTGAAAAGCACCTTATGAAATTCAAAGATCACTATGATCCATGTATGAAGGATATTCATAGTTCCAAATTTCCTTCATAAAGCAATTGCACTGCTTCCATATTATAACATTATCATTTTATTAGTGCTTTAGAGAAAGAATTCTTTACATACACATCTAACATTGTTTAACCAAAAACCACTACTCCAACAAAAAGACTTCCAAAACCAATTCAGATCAAACAGCATAAAGGAAAGATCGGAAACATGCTTCTCCATAAAACTAGATAACATGACTCTAATCACTCATCACTCGATTCCTTATCAAACACAACTGCATAACATATAAGATATATCAGGGCCGGCCCTGGGCATAGGCGGGAGAGGCCTTCGCCTAGGGCCCCTAAAGAACAAGGGCCCCCATTTTAGATAGATATATATATATGAAAAAAGTAAGAGGACTTTTGTGCAAAATTGTTAAGAGGGTTCTAATAGCATAAATACACAACAAAACCACTCATATCTTCAACCCGTCCTCTGTATCCAGGGCCGCTCTCACATATAAAAAAAAAGAAAACTGAAAACCCTCTCTCTCTCTCTGACCTCTCTTCTTCCAATCTTCGGATCTTCCTCCCGTGTCCCGTCCTTGTCGACTTGTCCTCCTCCCTCTCGACTCTCACCCGCCGGCCGTCGGCCCGCCGTCATTGACCAAGCCAAGGTTAGGGTTTCACTTCTTGTCTTCTTCACTTCTATGCTTCTTTTGACAAAATTGTGAATTGATGTAGAAATTTTGATTTATCTGTAAGTTCTCAGTTCTCACTAGGGTTTAGGAATTAGGGCTTTGTGGAATTAGGGTTTAGGAATTAGGACTTTATGAAATTGAAATTGAAATTAATTAGGACCTAAATTAAAATTGAAATTGGAATTAGTTCTCACTAGATTTTATTGTTTAATTTCAAATTTCAATTTAAATATTTGATATATTTTAGTCCCTAACATGCTTTTTGGTAGGAATTCTTGATTAATTTATTTTTCTTGATATTTATTAGATTGTAGCAGATTCAGAATTAAATTTGGATATCATGCCTCTTCGAAAGTATATGTCTGGACATGATAAGCGGATAAAGAAACAAAAAATTAAAGAATTCAATCGATCTCAAGCGGGAGCACTTGAAAATTTTATTACTTGTAGTAGAAATACATATTCCAATTTAGTTCAAGATTCGGTGAATGTTGAAAATGAGCAACCTGAAAATCAAGAAATCGAGGATTTGGTTAATGAAAATTTGAATGAGAATAGAAATTCCATTGACGAAGGTGAAGAACATAAAGATTTCAATGAGATTAGAAATTTGAATGAGAATAGCAATGTAAATGAACATGAAGAAAATATAAACGAACATGAAGTTTAGGTACAAGAAGAAAACCTTGAAAGAAGGCCTTCAAACATAAATGACCCAGGAAATTGGAAAAATATTAATCAAAGATTGAGAGACTTACTAGTTGAAAGAGGTCCCAAAAGAAATGATAATCTTGATTTTCCAAAAGATTCAGAAGGCAGACATTTCTCCTCAACACATTACATTCGTAACTTATCCAATGGTGAACATCATGATAGAAAATGGTTAATCTATTCAAATTCTTTGGACAAGGTTTTTTGTTTTTGTTGTAAGTTGTTCAAATATGATGCAAACAAAATTCAATTGGCAAATGATGGAGTTAGAGACTGGAGAAATCTCAGTGCCAGACTTAAAAGTCATGAAACAAGTAGTGAACACATTGTTAACATGAAGAGTTGGATTGAATTAGAGATCAGATTACGACAAAATGCGACAATCGATAAAAGTGTTGAAGAACAAATCAACAAAGAATGAGAACATTGGAGAAAAGTACTATTGAGAGTAGTTCTGTTGTGAAAACACTTGCTAAAAATAGTTTGGCATTTCGTGGAGATAATGAGAAGCTTTATGAAGAAAATAATGAAAATGTTTTAAGTATAATAGAAATGATTGCCGAATTTGATCCAATAATGAAAGAGCATGTTTGTCGAGTTCAGGAGAAAGAAATTCATTATCATTATCTTAGTCACAAAATTCAAAATGAATTTATTCTTCAAATAGCAGATGAGATCAAAAGTTTAATCATCCAAAAGATTAAAGAAGCAAAGTACTTTTCTGTTATTCTTGATTGTACTCCGGATGCAAGCCATGAAGAGCAAATGTCACTTATATTAAGATGCGTGAATATTTCAACAAGCCCAATAAAGATGGAGGAGTTCTTTTTAGGATTTTTAAAGGTGGAGATACATCAGGACGAGGACTTTTTGAAGAACTTGTAAATATTTTGCAAGAGCTTAAACTTGATATTGGTGATGTAAGATGACAAGGGTATGATAATGGTTCTAATATGAAAGGAAAACATAAAGGTGTACAAAGAAGATTATTAGAGATAAATCCTAGAGCATTCTACACACCTTGTGGTTATCATAGTCTTAACCTTACACTTTGTGATATGGTAAACTCTTGTTCGCAAGCTTCATCTTTTTTCGGAGTGGTGCAGCGTATATATTCATTGTTTGCATATTCTACAAAGCGGTGGAAAGTTCTTACAGATAATGTTAAAAGTTTCACACTTAAGCCACCATCACAAACTTGTTGGGAAAGTCAAGTTGAAAGTGTTAAAGCAATAAGATTCCAAGCTCCAGATATAAGAGATGCTTTGGTTTAGTTAGCAAGTTCTAGTGAAGATCCCAAGACAAAAAGTGATGCTGAGTGCTTAGCAACATATGAAATTGAGGATTTTGAGTTCTTACTTGGTATGGTTATTTGGTTTGATATTTTGAATGCTATTAACAAAATAAGTAAAATCATGCAATCAGAGGATATGCAGATTGATGTTGCTATAGACCTTTTAAGAGGGCTCATTTCTTTTTTGAAAGCTACAGAGAAAATGGATTTGAAGCAGCTATGGTTGAGGCTAAAGAATTTGCAGTTAGAATGAAAGTTGAACCCATTTTTCGTGAACGTCGCATCATTCGTAGAAAGAAACATTTTGATAAAAATACTAGTAAAGAGATGGCAATGACAGCTGAAGAATCATTTAGAGTCAATTACTTCATATATATCGTTGATCAAGCTCTTTCTTCACTCAAGAGTAGATTTGAACAGTTTCAACAGTATAATGAATCTTTTGGTTTCTTGTTTAATTTGGAGAGGTTGAAGCCTGCAGATAATGATAGTTTGAAGTGTTCATGTCTTAACCTTGAAGATCTCCTAAAGCATGACAAAAATTTTGATATTAATGGGACAGAATTATTTTCAGAACTCCAAATCTTAAGAGAAGTATTACCAAGAGGAACAAAAAAAATAATTGAAGTATTGAATTTTATGAAAATGCTAAATTGTTGTTTTCCAAATGCTTGGATTGCTTATAGAGTATTATTGACAATACCAGTTACAGTTGCATCGGCCGAGAGAAGCTTTTCAAAGTTGAAGCTCATCAAATCTTATCTATGGTCAACAATGTCACAAGAGAGATTGAATGGATTGACTATGATATCTATCGAAAAAAATTTATTGGAGAAGCTTGATTGGAACATTTTAATTGATAATTTTGCAGCTCAAAATGCAAGGCGATCCCATGTAATGTAGTATGACTTGTGTTGTTTATAAAGCATCAAGAAGTTTTTTGATTTTAATATTAATACGATTATGTGCTTATTGTCTCATTTTAATAAAAATATTTTGCTATCTTATAGAACTTTTTGTGTATGGAATATTGTATATACAGGCCCCTCATTTGAAAGCTTGATTAGGGCCCGTGAAAAATTAAGAATATCAGGGCCGGCCCTGAGATATATCAAGGAGCATAAAGATGAAACTTCTGATTTAATCCAACAAAATAAAAAAAATCAAAGCCATCTGAAAAAAAGCTCTCTTTCCCTAGTTCACCCAAACATTTTTTAAGCATAAAAGTAAAGCTAAATCGGTGAGAACCAAATTTACACAAATTATACTCTGTATTTAACCTTATAAAGATTGAACTTGTGGTCTATCCCCGTGAATTTCAACCAAAACCCACTCAAAATTCCACCAAAGCCTTCTACAAAACCCCTTTGCTCCACAAAACAAACCAAGTCCACACTGCATCTAATCAAGAAGGCCTAAACTTTTTGAATTTATTCTCAACATTAAGCAACCCAAAAGAAATTATCCAGTTTATTTACTCACCTCTCTCTTGAGCCCCTCTTCTCTAGCGCTGTACGCCCCACTAGTCTGAATATTCTCCGTGAAAATCTCCCTGCCGGATGTCTCCTTCACCACAATCCCGGCAACTCAAACCCCCGCCCGGCGCCCGCCACCGGGCCGCCTATGGGCCCCACTCTGAACCCTGCCCCTCCGGCGGCGCAGCGGTCCCGCCGCTAGCCGCCGTTCACGGCGGCCGTCCGGCCTCGGTCCTTGACCTTCGTCTTCACTCGGAGGCGTGGAAGTCCTCATGACGAGTCCCTCGTCGGCGGTCTTCTCTCGAGCGTCTCCTCGGTGTCGCTTGCCTCGGTTTCGTCCTGGGGGAGGGGAGGGAACTGGTGGTCGTCTTGAGCCGAGGTGGGCGGAGAGAGGCCGATGGCGTTGGGTTGCGAGGGGGACGGGCGACGCGGGCCGGATCTCGAACGGTACGGGGCCGCGCCACCGTCCGCCATGGGCTGGGATTTTTTTTTCTTTCTTTCTTTCTTTCTTTCTTTTCCCCCTCTCTTTTGCTCGGGGAGTGGGAAGAAGAGTGAGGGATTGGATCTTTCTGCACGGGCGATACGCAGGAAATGTGAAAGGGTTTTGTCCGAATTACGGGCTGTTTCGTTGGCTAAAGAAACATGAAATCAATTATAAAAAATGTATTTCCTATACGTTCTTTTTTTATGTTTGGTTTACTTTTTAAATTTAAGAAAAAGATAAGATGAGATGAGTTGTTTCCATTTTATTAGATGGTGTAACTTACTTTTAAGAAAACTCATTTCATGATTTTTTTAAAGAAATGGATGGAAATTAACTTTTAATGGTTTCTTTATCATATTTCTTTTTCTTTGACTTTAGGAAATCAACTAAACAGGCCCTTAGTCTCCATCACCTTTCATATTTGAAATTAGTCCCCAAATCATCGTAATTGAAAATTAATCCCCAAGTCTCTAAGCATTTAAATAGTTCCCAAATCTTCATATTTTGAAAGTAGTCCCTCAAATGTGTTAAATGTTAGTCACCGAGATCTTTCAACCTGCTGCTAACTAGATGGACTAATTTCAAAACGCTTAAAAGATTTAAAATACTAATTTTAAAATATGAAGATCTTGGAGACTACTTTCAAGTACATGAAGATTTAGGAGACTAATTTCAAAATATAACAATTTGGGAGGCTAATATCAAAATATTGAAGATACAAGGGACTAATATTGATAAAAAAACCCAATGTCAAAGGTTTTTGCCTATATTAGTAGACACCCTAAATTTTTTTCTTAAATTTTCCATTCGACCCTCATATTTTCATGTTTCTAAATAATATTAGTTTCTTTCAATGCTAGATCATACTCTGATTGTAATTATGAACCAAATCTAATTAGGGAGTGTCACTTAGACAAAAAATTATATATTGTTTGATGGTGTAAATGTGAATTTGAAGATTTAGGGGCCTAATACAACATCAACAAAGAATTAAGGGTCGAATAGGATAAAACCCCAATATAAAAGAAAAGCTTTTTGTAGTTTCATTTTGTAAGTAGACATCATGGGTTTGACCCTTTTACTGTTAGATAAACTCACTAATTTCACTCAGAGACAAAATCTGCCAAATTTTCTGTTGAGATAAAGCGTTAAAAAAATGTCCCAGGGGATCAATAGGCAGCAATTAAATAACAAGGATAGTAAATGTGAAACAACAATATTATAGGGGGTCTATCTGCAATCAACTCTTAAAATTTTCCTTTTGCTGATGTCAAAATTCTCTTTAAGTTGTTTCAAACAAGAATGTAGTAATTTTAATTCAATGAGAACTACGTTTCAAAGGCCAAAATATCATATTAGCCTAAAAGGTAATACCTCTCTACCAGTTTAGTCTAGAAAGTAACACTGGCGATATTTTAACCTAAAAAGAGACAAGTAGGTGACACATATGCCTTTCCGATCACCGGAGATAGTTGAAATATAAAATAAATTTTACATATAGATCCTAAATCTCTCATATTTATCCTAAATCTCTCATATTTATCAAATTAACCATCTCTCCCTCCTTAGATTGTGAAATTTGTATCAAAAAACTCCTCCCTTCCTCCCACCATCTCCTCCATTCTCTTCTTCTCTATATCCCTAACTTTTCCTCCATCATCTCTCTCCTCCTACCAGCTTTTTATGTCCTCATTCTTATGGTCTTATATTCTCCTTCTGCCAACTCCTTCATTCTTTCTAGCTCCTCTTTCCCACTCTGTCCTCTTTCTTGTCCTCTTCCTCTCTCCCACTCCCTCTTCCCCCTACCCCAACCCCCCTGCTCTACCCACCAATCATTGACTTCAAGTATTCTATCAAAAATCCAACATCCTTCTCCTAATTACTTTTTTTTAAACATTGAGGAAGAGGAGAAAGAGGTGTGGTTTTGATAGAATGTTTGATGTTGGAGATTGAGAGTGGGCAGAGTAAGGAATGAGAAGGAGTGAGAGAGGGGAAGAGGAGCAGATGAAGAAGAGAGTGGGAGAGAGGTTATGGATTGAGAGGAGCTAAAAAGGAATGGAGAAAATGGTAGAAAGAAGAAGATAAGACCATAAGAGTGAGGATATGAAAAGAGAGTAGAATGAGAGGAATGAAAGAGGAAAAGTTGCGGATATGGAAAAGAAAAGAATGGAGGAGATGATGGGAAAGAGGAGGGATGAGATAGTGGGAAGAGAGGAATATTTTTTATTATAAATTTCACAATGTAGGGAGGGAGAGAGGGGTTAATTTGAAATAACATGAGAGATTTAGAGGTCTAGATGTAAAGTTCCTTTAACATTACACTTAAAAGTTATATCCGGCAATCATAAAGGTTTATGTGTCACATATTTGTCACTTTTAAAGTATCACGGGTGTCACATTTCAAACTAACTGGTAAATGGGTATTACTTTTAGGTTAATCTAGTATTTTAGCCGTTTTTCAAAAGAAATAAAAAAATTAATTTTTTCTAATTAATTTGACAGATAACCAGTTATGCTACAATTACAATAGTTTTTTGTCAGAGTACTAATCTGATTAAAATTCTAAATTAAAAAAATGTGTTGTGGAACAATAAATTTTTCCATAAAATTAACACTCTCAACTAGGAAACTATCAAAAGTTTACAAAGCTAGGAGCAAAAGATTAGAGAAAACTTGAGAGTTCCCACCTGTGGAAAAAGTTTCTAGAATAGAAAATATACAATGAGAGATTAAACTTTTAATCTGTAAACATCATTAGGGTTTTATTAGAACTTTGTATGTGTAGAACATTGTTCATGCAATATATCTTGTTTGATCAATAACAAACTCTCATTCCGTACTAGTTAGCTTGTGAGATGATATATTTCAGGAATGGACATGTACGAATAAGTTATGATTCGAAACGATGCAAAAATCAACATGAATAGTTGATTTCAGCCTTTAATCGTCGATGGTCACGAGACAAGTATTGATGGTCCACAGGTTATCGATGGACTACAATCAATAATCTACATTTTCTAGAAATGAGAAATCGAATCATCAATGGATGATAGTCAACCATTGATGATCACTTCAACCATTGATGGACTATAGTAAAAGATCTGTGAATTTCAGAAATCAAAATTTGCATAATTGATGGACTATAGGGAACCATCGATGATCAGCATCAACCATTGATGATCGGGTAGAATGCTGTTCATGCAATATCTCTTGTTTGATTAATAGCAAACTATCATTTGGTACTAGTTAGCTTGTGAGATGATACATTTTAGGAATAAACAGATATGAATAAGTTGTGATTCAAAACGATGCAAAAATTAACATGAACAGTTAATTTTAGCCTCTAACCATCGACGACCATGAGGCAACTATCGATGGTTCACAGGTCATCGATGGACTACAGTCAACAATCTGTATTTTCTAAAAATGAGAAATCGAACCATCGATGGACTACAGTCAACTATCGATGATTACTTCAACCATCGATGGGCTATAGTAAAAGATCTGTAAATATTAAAAAATCAGAATTTGCACAATTGATGGACTACAGGGAACCATCAATGATCAACATCAAACATCGATGATCAGGTTTAACCATCAATTATTTGGACACATTTTGGCAGATTTTTAAATTTAATCTCAGCCATTCGATCACATATTTGATCTCCTATTTTAATACTGATTACAGGACTTATTTCTAATGCAATTAAGGTCTATTTAAAAAGGGATTAGGGAAGGGATTAACAACAAGAAAGAGAGATGAGATTTGTATAAGTTTAAGAGATCAAATTCTAGGGTTTGTGAGAGTTTCAGTAAGAATTTGATTCCCCGAGCCTCGTTCAACTTCTTCTCATCGTGCTCAATATTGAGAGATTGTTTCAATGAGAAGAAGTGCATTTTGTGTTTGATTTTAACACCGCTTCTTCACAGATCTTCAACATTATCGATTTGAAAGGTGGTTTGTTAAAATGGCTATAAGATCTTTTTAATTGCACTTTAATTATTTTTAGGGTTGGTCTTGTATTTTAAACTTGCGCGTTTGATGGCGTACTCAAGCCAATGTAATTGAAGGTTGGCATGCTCAAGCCGGGATAACTGAGTATGGCTAGTTAAGGCTAGGTTTCTTCTAGTCATTATGAAGAGTTGGGTACCTCGACTGGTTTCTAGTAGATTCTAAGGTCCTGTTTGTAAAGCCTACTAAATCGGATTGTGATTCAGGGATAATTCTGGTCATAGTGAAAAAGGCCTTTCACGAGAAGGAAGAGTGAATGTAGGATTTTAATCTGAACTACTATAAAAATCTTTTGTGTCCATGCGTTGGTTGCTCTTAGTTTTTTTATTTCCCACTACATATTCTGTGTCTATTCAAAAAATTTATAGCAATCATATTCACCACTCATCTAGGCTTACATCTCATTTCCAGCAAATTGTATCAGAGCCTCGTTACCCATTTTTAGTATCACAACCTAGGGTAGAGATGTCACACCTTACCACCGCTTTAGATTTTCCTCGAGGACACGCTATCAACCGACCCCCACTTTTTGATGGCACTAATTACACTTATTGAAAAGCATGTATAAAAGTTTTTTTTATCATCCACTAGTTTAGATGTTTATGAGAGTGTAGAACATGGGGATAAGGAACATACTACTGAGGTAGATGGTATTACAGTCATTCTAACTAAGAATAAGTAGATTCCACAGCATGAACAAATTTACTCTTATAATATAAAAGAGATGAATATTTTATATTGCTTACTGCTGAAGAATTTAACCATGTTTCTAATTATT